GCAAAGTCCATTAATTTAATTGCAGTTAATAATTAAATTTTGAAGTCTTTTTTTTTTTAATTTAATTAAAAACATTAAATTTCGGGATCAACGTAAAATCAGGATGAAATTTTTCCAAAAAAAATAATCGTAAACGGATCCGAGCATATATTAATATATATTTTCACGACAAATGCCGATTAGAAATTTAATAGGCGTTACCATAATTAACATTAAATTCGTGAAATGAAATGTATCGAGTATTCGTCCTAAAAGGTGATAATTTCGAATTTGTTGTTTCAATGGACTTTATATCGCACCGAACGCATTAGTGAGAAAAATGTTTTTCATATGTACATTGCGGTTTCATTCCCTTTCGCCATTGCAGTTCCATGCCATATATTTATATAGAATTACTGCTTTAAGAGTGTACAGAGTATTGCTCTCTTGTTTAGCGTCTTGTTGCAGTGAAAACGCAATAGATGGTTCCGATAAACTGGTTTACTTTACTTCTGTCTCTCTTTGACTCTCTCTGACTCAACTGAACTGTCAGTGTCAGTGCTTCATATAATAAATTGTTATACTAGCCTAAGCAAAATAGTAGTTTTAAGTTAGGTTATTACCAAAGTTACATTTAATGTGGGTTATAACTAAAGTAGGTTATGCTAACTAGGTTATAGCTAGATTTACATTATGTGGAACTATAAGAAAGTGTAAACTCAGCATAAGTGATTAATAAGTGAGTAGAATACGATAAGTCGATAATGCTACATTGCATACACATAATTGCGTGTGAATGAAGATGTTGAAACGAAATCTACAAATTTAAGGAAAATTTTTGCTTAAATGTTGCAAAATTAATTATGAACGGAAAAATGTCGAAATGACATAACATCATGAAATGTAATTTCCTTTTAAATGACAGAAGAAGCAGAGCAAAAAAAAAAAAGAAGTAAATTTCAGTCTTTTTATTAAGTGATTTTAATGTACTAAGGAAAATACAATCAAAATGAAAATGACAAAAGGAAAAGAGAAAATAAACAAAATTTTCAAACTCAAACACATCTGTGTGTGATTTATGACAAGGAAAACATGTCGGTGTTATCATTACACATTCATAGATGTTCGCTCATATGCCTATGTTGTCTAGTATGCTTATCCGACGCCATGTGTGCATATGCGTACTTTATTTATTTGAAAAGTGGTATAAGACCCTTTTCAAAAAATATGTACATAAAATAAAAAAGAATAAAATCAAGTTAACTGTAATGACGGTATCCCTTTATAGATAAGATTTTGGTATCTTCTATAGATAATATGTAATTAATCATTAGAAAGATTCATTCATCCTATCTTTTTATGAATGCAGTCTAATGATCAGAGTGTCGATGCACTAACTTTTCATGCGCAAGCCAAACAAAGCAAAAAATTAAATTGTATAGAAGAACAGATAAGAGCTTAAATTCCGAGAGCTGATTTTATTGACAACAGGCTATGCTCATATACTATTCCAACGAATGAATTGATTACGTATTAGGAATATTTACATTGATCTGTTATGGCTTTGTGGACACCTAGTACCAATGGAGAGTCGAATATTGCGAGTTTTCGAATTTAATTATTTATTTAATACTTATCTGTCAACTAATTCGTGTAGATGTAGTGTGTAGACTACACCATTTAAAATAAAAAAGGCCACAACAAAATCAAAAAAGTTGCAATTCTCTGATTGACTTGTGCCATTTTCGCTCTAAAAGGCTTAGCAGATGAACTCTATTCCGTAGGCTGTTTGGGGTAATTCTTATACCTCTTATAGCCGCATAACCGAAAGTACAACTTATATTACAACAATACATCAATTTTTTGTGAATGCCTGCAGCACCTGGAACAACTTGTTATGTAAGCCCCACCTACCTTTTGTTGAACTAATCGTTTTAGATTCATTTTCCAGTTTCTCACGTACATCCGTCTATCCGTCCGTCTATCTTTCTGATTTGTACTCATTCTTTCTTTCATAATCACTATCTGCAGTTCACTAATGTTTTTACTAATTACCATCAATTGCCGCGGAAAATTGATACTAAAATATGAAGAATTTGAATGTCACCGTTTTTGGAAACTGAGTTTCATATAAACTTTTCATATTTCTTACATGAAAATGAAGTTTGATTGTCGGTATTCCATAATGCAAATTGATTTAGAATGATTGTGTTGGATTGAATTTACATATTGGGTGTAGTTTTCGAACTTCTCCCCACACACATATAAAAATGCTAATTAAAAAGTTTCGACTTTATGATATTTTATGTTAAAAGTATTTAAAGTTCGGCTTTGCCTGTGGTAACATTTTAATTTATTCTTTTCGTCGATAACGATTTTGAAATTAATTTTAGACCGTTATTTTTAAAATTAAATTTAGACGTTATGAGAAAGCCTAATAATAAATGTGAAAGTTTTCCGATTTTTTTTTTTTTTTTTTCTATTTTTGCCAACAAATGCTTCTGGGGACCGTCATCGGTTCATCGTTTTGAAGTTGTATTATGGGAGTTACTTTAAAAGTAATAGTTTAAGATTTGTAATTGCTTTCCCTACACCTGTGTGGGGGTATAAACTTCAAGAACGGGCGGACATAACATATATAACTTGATCTTCTTTACGAAAATGTATATGTCAACGTTTTGATACGTATTTGTGAGTGTTACAAACAGTTGCAAACACCTTTCTATATTTTATCTTCGTGTTTCAGCGATTGGTCCTACTTATGTCAATATTATGTACTCTTTTTAACGACAACAACAACAACAAAATTTATATTTTCTACCTATAAACAGTAATAAATTGCTTTGTATTTGCAGCAAAGATATAAATATATTTCAGATAAAATAGTTGAACCATTAATTATTGGCATAGTACACGAGAACATATAATTATTTACATTTATGTGTGTAGGCAAATAAATCCCAACAACCGAAGGAATCTCATTTATTTAAGGTCAATATTAATGCTTAGAATTGTATGTATGTATAATTAGGCCTAATATAAAACGAGATGCTTGCATATGTATGCAAATACCCAAACATATACAGTGCGTGGCATTAATATTCGGTTTTTATCTCAAGGAGAAATGAAATATTAAAGTTATTGCCCTTACGCTTGGATTACTTTTGTTCTACTAGCAAATGAAGAACGAAATGTATGAACACTCCTTAAAAACCGTTATAACGACAATCAAAACAACTATGTTTCTTCAGAAACCTAAGAAAACATAATCGCATTGATATTCGGTTTTTTCTCCATTTTGCATTCTGCCGAGCCAACAAAAAAGTGTACATAAGGTTTCTTCGAAACATATTTCACATAAAATAAAAATAAAAATAAATTAAAAATGCAATTTGTTAAGAAAAGCAAAATGGGAAAAATTCAACTTTCGAACAGGGAGAACCAATCATTAAGAGTGTTTGTGCAAGAAAAACAATCGCGGATACCGATTATATGAAAATAAATACATTGGGAGTTACCATGCATCTGTACAAAAATGAAGAACTAATCATTTTAATTGGACAGTGTGCGAGGATACTTGATAGTTTGGAGACATTCAAATTGTACCGAGACAACGACGCATCAAGCACAAATACCGGTTAATTCAGGGGAATAGGTCTAAACATAACTCCCTCAAAGTGCTTCACCGCCATCAAAAATGTGTGAGATGAGTGAGGCCGCCGTGCACGAGAACACTCAACGTCCTTCGTCGAAGATCTGAACAATAGACTACAAGGAGAATGGATTCAGATCCTTGTTCCCTCCACAAGCAAAT